TTTAATCTACGATTTTAGAGGACAATCTAATCTTTCACTTGGCAAACCTCATGTTATTAAAAAATCAATGGAATATTTTGCTGGTTCAAGTCTTTACCGCTGGGACATGTTTAAACTGAAGCGACGTCACGTACGCAATGTGCAACAAAATTTAACCATGGAACTTGCCGTTTTCGTCGATGAAGCAGCATATAATACGTTCATGTCTATTTTGGACAATGATGAGGATAAGTTGCACAATATTATATTAGCGTACGTGAATCGCATCCAGGCTGCCTTTAATCATCCCAGTTTGGATATCTTTATGAATATTACCTTAATACGTTTGAAGATGCCGACAGAACAGCTGTCAAAATTGCCAGTTTCCGACGGCGAAGCTGGCCAACTGCTCGATTCGTTTTGCAAATATGCAAATTTTCTCAATCCTACGAACGATGATAATCCGAATCATTGGGATATTGGCTTTTACTTAACCGGAATAGATCTTTATGTAGATATTCTAGTAAAACATAAAGGGCATTACAGAAGTGAGAGAAATTTTGAGATTACGGGAAGGGCTCACTACGAAGGCGTATGCGATTTGCTTCTTTCATGCGCGATAGCAGAATTTCGTGATCAATCTGAAGTCGAATACTCTCTTACTGCTAATTGAGAAAATTGGTGAACTGTAAGTTTTTTGAGAACTAGTTTTACGTATAAATTAAGAATACATAATATTTTTTATTAGAATGTAGGGTGTATCACAAAACTCATAAGACTCTTTGATTAATAATAAGAAAATGAAAGAATTTTAATACTGGTAATCTAACAAAATGCTTAATACGATTCGTAGTACGTGCAGTCTCACAATCTCGCCGTCTCAGTCTTGTAAAATACTTCACACAGCTCGCAGTCTCGTAATAACTCATAGTCTCGTAATAACTCGTAACTCGTGATACTCGTGATACTCGTAGTAGCTCACAGTACTCGTAATCGATCGTATAATAATACAACCGCTCGTAATGCGTATTGTCGTAATCTCGTAATCGTCTTTATTTCTACGCACTTCGTCACGTCCTACGTCCTACGTCCTATGTCACTCACTCTCAATTCACACACACTTTAACTCATACTAACTCTCATCTCTAATGCTAACTCTAATGCGACTCTAATGCGTCGCGTCGCGGTCACTCGCGGAATCTATAACTTAGCTGTGCTCACGCTCGCGCTCGCGTACGCGCGCTTATTAAAACCATCTTACGTATAACTTATAATTCTAATCTTACGTATAATTTTAACAATTCTAACACCCTACAAGAATTTATTTAAATGTACAATTGTATAATAAAGTCAACAAGTAAAAAATCACTTTTAAGAAATTTTAATCTTTAAGAAATTTTATTGTCTAATTGTTTGTTATATAAACAATTAATAAATAAAAAAATATTTAAAAATTTTTTAATTAAACAATGCAAAGTAAAACATATATTTAAAATTAATAATTTATCTGTTTTACAGTTTAGGACTTATACCAGAACGAAGTTCTGGCGATTCGCAAATGATCGTAACATGGTCCGAGTATAGTCGTAAAAAATCTAAAAAACTCTGGGAAAAAAAAACGTGTCTTAGAGATCAAGCAAAAACGATGATCTCTAAAAAGGAAAATGTCGATAAATTGCAAAAGAAATTAACCATAGAACTTGCCGTTTTCGTCGACGAAGTAGCATATTATACGTCCATGATGATTGTGGAGCACAATGACGATAAGTTACAGAATATGATATCAGACTATGTGGATCGTATCCAGGCTGCCTTTAATCGTCCGAATTTGGATGTTTTTATAAACATCACGTTGATACGTTTAATTATGCTCAAAGAACAGCCATCAAATTTGCCAGTTTCTGACGGCAACGCTGGCCAACTGCTCCCTTCGTTCTGTGCATACGCGAATTCTTTAAATTCTTCAGACGATAACGATGCGTATCACTGGGACATTGCTCTTTATTTAACCGGAATAAATCTTTGTGAAAATACTATAGTACAATATGGATATGATTACGAAATAATAAAGGATTATACTATTACAGGAAAATCCTATCACAATGGCGCATGCTTTGCGCGTTTTTCTTGCGCAATAGTAGAATTCCGTGATCCATCGATAATCACATCATCTGTTGATGCTGTTTATAATATCGGCAATCTGTAAGTTTTTATATTAGTTTTACAAATAAATTAAGAATAAATTATATTTTATAATAAAATTAATTTAATTGTACAATTGTACAATAAAATCAACAAGAAAACAGTCACTTTTAAGAAATGTTGTTTTTTAATTGTTTATTATATAAATTATTAATAAATTATAAAATATTAAAAATATTTCAATTAAACACTGCAAAGTAATGCATATATTTAAAATTAATACTATAATATATTTGTTCTACAGTTTGTGATTAACACAAGAGCGAAGTTCTAGCGATTTGGAAAAGAACATAACATGGTCGGAAGATAGTCGTAACAAAATAAAAAAACCTCTGGAAAAAAAAATATGTCTTAGAAATCAAGCAAAAATGATGATCCTTAAAAAAGAAACCTCTAAAAAAGAAAACATCAATAATGATAATACTCGAAAAAATTCAACTATAGAACTGGCCGTTTTCGTCGACGAAGCAGCGTATCATATGTACATGCCTATTCTGGACAATGATGAGGATAAGTTACACAATATGATATTAGACTATGTGAATCGTATTCAAGCTGCCTTTAATAATTCGAGTTTGGCAGTTTTTATCAATATTACGTTAATAAATTTGCGTATTTGGAGAAATCAGCCGTCAAATTTACCAGTTTCTGACGGCAACGTTGTCGAACTGCTCTCTTCGTTCTGCACGTACGCAAATTCTCTAAATTCTCCGGATGATATTGATCCGAATCACTGGGATATTGCTCTTTACTTAACCGGAGTAAAACTATATGAAAATGTTATGGTAAAATTTGAATCGCATTATCGAATAGAGAAGAATTATAATATTACGGGAAGAGCCTACCACGATGACGCATGCGATCCGCTTTTCTCTTGCGCAATAGTTGAATTCCGTAATTCATACGAAATCACATCATCTGTTGATGCTGTTTATAAGATCGGCAATCTGTTAAGTTTTTATATATTAGTTTGCGTATAAATTTAAGATAAATATATTTATAATGAAATTTATTTAATTGTACAATTGTACAATAAAATCAATAAGAAAACAGTCATTTTCAAGAAATTTTATTTTATTAATTGTGTGTTATACAAACAATTAATAAATTAAAAGATATTTAAAAATATTTTAATTAAATAATGCAAAATGAAAGATATATTTATGGTAAATAATTTTTCTGTTCTACAGTTTAGGATTGGGATTAACAAAAGAGCGAAATTCTAGCGATTTGGAAAGGAATATAACATGGCCCGAGTATAATCGTAATGAAATGGAAACATTATGGGAAAGAAAAACATGTCTTAGAGATCAAGCAAAAACGATGATCTCGAAAAAGAAAAATGTCGATAATTCGCAAAAATAATTAACCATAGAACTTGCCGTTTTCTTCGATAAAGCAGCGTATCATATGTACATGCCTAATCTGGACAATGATGAGGATAAGTTAAACAATATGATACTAGCATACGTGAACCAAATTCAAGCTTTCTTGCATCATTCAAGTTTCGGTGCTTCTGTTGATATATCGTTAATACGATGGGAAATTATGAAAGAACAATTGTCAATTTTGTCAGATGTTGTCGACAAGAAAGATGAAGGATTGCTCTCTTCGTTCTGCGAATACGCGACAAATCAAAATCCTCCAAAAGACAATGATCCCGATCACTGGGACATTGGCCTTTACCTAACCGGAATAGATCTTTATAAGATAAAAAACGCACAAAAATCATATGGCACCATAGGAAGGGCTTATATCAATCACTCGTGTACCCACTATTTGTCGTGCGTCGTAGTAGAAATCGGTACTACAAATAAGATCACACTCTCGGGTTTTGCGACGTCTCTTACTGCTGCTCATGAAATCGGCCATCTGTATGTTTATGTATATCACTTTTACATACAAATTAAGTACATAATATTTATTAAAAGAATTTTCTTATTTGTACAACTAAAAGATAAAAACTACTTAGAGATTTTTAAAATATTTAAATTTTAAAGTGTAAAACTTTTCAGAAACTACAATGTATACAAAAATATTGCAAATGAAGCATATTTCTCTGTAAAAGTAATTTATTTGTTCTAAAGATTAGGAATAGCTTACGATAATGACTCTTTCAATTTGACGTGTGGGAACGGCAAATACATCATGGCAGATTCGCAATTCCGTCGGGGTCAAACAGCATGGTCCGAGTGTAGCCGTAACATTGCGAAAGAACTCTGGAAACAAAACCGTGTCTTCGCGATCACACGAGACGAGAAATTTTCAAAGATGGATTGGACCATTCACGTTATCACGATTTACCCGGAAGGGACTGGACTGCCAAAGCACAATGTCAATTATTTTTGCGAGACAAAGATGCAAACGTAGTCACGTTGCATGATATATGTCAAGTCTTACAATGCGAAACGCCTCACGAGAATGGATATTTCTTCGCAGGAGCAGCGCTGGATGGTATGTCTTTTTATCAAATTAGATACTTCAGTTTTTAATTTATTGAATTTTATTAAGGAACTCATTGTGCACTCGAGAAAGAATGTCGCGGCGGAGAATGCGTGCCCGTAATCGAACCATCTCTCCCATATTGTGAAGGAGATAACTGGAGTAAATGGAAGGAAGACTCCTGTAAAAGCGATTGCTTGACGAAATCGAAAGGCGTGATAATCAAACGACGTTTTTGCAAACATGGTACTAAAACAGCTAGTTGTAATGGGCCATATTACGACGTGGTTCTGTGTGATGACTTCAGACTTTGCTCTGAAGAACGCAAAACGATTGCCGAATATACTGCTTCAAAATGCACTGAATTCAACTTAAAATTAAAAACAAAGTACAAAGTACATTTCAATTACATACCGAAAATTGGGTCAGGTCTGCAAAACTTTCATGACGCTGAGGAACCGTGGATAGCCTGCACCATATACTGTCAACGAGAAGAAAAAACATCTGCTGAACATAGTATATCTCATTTCTACACACCACGTTTGGAATTGTTTGAATCAGGTATCGACCCGTACTTTCCAGATGGAACGTGGTGTCACGAGGAGAATGGGCAGAATTATTATTGTCGTCAGCATTACTGTCTGCCGGAAAACTACTTAATCAAAGAATAATTACCAAAAGCTTCTCGACATGTGCGGGCAAAAATCTAAGAGGAAATAAAATTGCAAAACAAGCATAATTCAATTTAGATCTGTTTAGTATTTGTTCAGTATAAAATCTAAAATCCGTAGAATTATCGTTGTTACTTTATATTTTAATCAATAAATCCATTTATTGTTAGCAAAAAATAAACTTATACGCAGTGAAATACGTCAAATTATTGACATAAAAAATTTCATCCAAAGTCCAGATAACTGTTAGTAATTGCATAAAAAATAAAGTAAGTATTTATTATGTTACGTCCTGATAGATGTAGAATTTTTTCGTTGGGCTCGGCGATCGACGTAAACGGACCTGACCGCACGAGCCGAGCGGCACGTTTAGGACTTGCGACGGGTCAGCGACTGGAAGAGTCGTTTTTACTCCGTCAACAAGTCAACCGCTCGTGGTCCCCTTTTGGGTCAAGGAATTGAATCCCTATTACCCGGGGCGGAACCTTTGTGCGCAATTTGAGAGGGAAGGTGTGAGGGGGTGACGAACGAGGAGGGGTGGTTAAATAAAAAGAACAAAAGTTTAATTTATTAAAGACAACATTTAATTTGATTGAATTTATAATTAGGATACAAACTTAATTCTTAATTGCAGGTGCTAATAATTTATTTGTGTATTCTTTACAAATGTGTGTGTGTGTGTGTGTGTGTGTGGATTATTCCTCAGGGGAAACGACTAGATTTAAGAAATCAAACCCTGTAAATTCAGGGTTAGGAAGATGCGGAGGAGGCTCGACGTATTCAATGGTGGTGGCTTCGGAGTTGACGGATATGTTGTCAAACTCCGGATCGTTATGTGGGAGTTCCTCCAGTTGAGCCTCTGCTGGAGGAGGGTGGAAACGGACAGGCGAAGGGGGTCTGTAGTCCAGGAGCTCTTCAAGGATCGGAGAGATGGACCTGGGGGTAGGAAGTGGTGAAAGGTCAAGAAAGTGTTGAGGAGATTGTTGAGGAGATTGTTGAGGAGATTGTTGAGGAGATTAGATTCCTGAGGAATCGATGGTGATACGGGAGGTGGGTCGGTTTGAGTGTGTGTGGTTATACGTGGGGTGTGTCGCCTAATTCTAACGGGTCTTACGGTGACCCTCGCCGCGTATCTAAGGTATGGTGGGAGGAATATAGCTATGCAGAGAGCGAATGCCGAAAGGTCCGAGCGATTCCGCCGATTGTTGAGTCGCGGCAAATTTTTAGTTCTCACTGATAAATAGCACAACAAAGTTTATAGGGACGGAGCACAAAATAATAATAAAGAGAGGAAAAATAAAACAAATGAACTAACTTACTCGTTACAGGATACTTTCGGATTGAGTTGAATGTGTACGGTGGTTTTGAGCAGGCGCCCCGTTGAGGGATGGTGTGTAGGCGTCGGACCCTTTTGTCAACGTGTGGGCACCCTGCTGCTGGATGGTGTCGTCAGGGTGATGAACCCTCTACTTGGTCGTGACAAAGTATCGACCTTTTTTATTTCGCGGCCAGAACTACTCGGAAAACTGTCTTAAGGACTTGGCAAAACTTGCTTGATAACTGAGTGACTAATTGGGTATAATTGCGCTTGGAGCCACCAAAACACGGGTTTTTATACCCTTTCCTTGGGGTGGATCCATTTGGAAAATCTTAGGTTTTTGAAGCGGGGATCGAATAGGAATTAGTCTTGTGAGAAGATTTTTAATGTGGGGGAGGATGGCGTCATTTTTAACTAATAGGATTAGGTTTAGGTAATTAAGTTACTTGGAATGGGGGTAGGAAGAAAGGGGCCCTAACGAATAAGGAATAGCGTCGTTTCGGGTCCATATGCGATGGGGGTAGGTTTTGAGGTGGCGTAACCGGTTGGTGTTAATTAGTATAGGTGGGGTGCATCTCAGTGTCTTAAGATCTAGGTGGGCGTAGTCTTTAGACCGTACGACGGAATGAAGGGTGGTCTATAGAGGTGCTTG